ATCAGCCTCACCTTATCTTTACCAGTTAGAGACTGGCCTCACAGCCAGCGTTTCAAGCCAGTGTTTGATGACCATTGCAGAGAGGTTGTCATTAATAAACAGCATTAATAAGATGCTGAGCAATGCCATTTCATCACTTTAATGGGATAAATCCATCCCTCCTGTGTGGTGGGGCTGCTTGGCATTCCAGCCCAAAGGTGACCCCATCCATTCCTTGCAAAACCAGTTAAAAACAACCCCTCTGGATGAAAGGTGGTGGTACTTGAAGACAGTTATTTTATCTTGGCTTGGGCTCTATAGATAACACACTACCAGCATCGTGTTTCTTCTCTGGGGGTTATTTATGACCTTACCCCTGCTCCACCCCACACATTACATGTTTGTGAGGCTTTTCAGTGGGGCTGTTATTGCTTTCAGAGCACATTAAATCACATTTTCCCACCCTTTTGCCTTGTTTTCACTTCATCTTCTCCCTATCCCAGCACTGGCACATTTTAATGGCAGGAACCAGCTTTACCTTTACAGCCTTTTCCTGGCTCAGATTCCTTGCTGCACCTTTAAGAGATGCTTTGGATTTGGCTATAAATGATAAAATGAAGCAGATTCCACCTTGTCCTTATGGATAATGATGTGCTGACCTCTGCTACCCCGGTTTTCCCATTCACAGTCACCCCTGAAGGAAGTTTTGGGGATGTCTCACCCCTGTTTTGCATCTCTCCATTTGAGATGAGGTGTGATGCAGTGATGGAGCAGCCGGAGAGCTGGTTATGCTCTGAACCAGCCCTTCCTTTGTTTGATGGGGTAAATACCAGAAGAGGAACTTTAGTGGCAAAGATGGTGATGGGACTGGGAGCAAAAAAGTGATTCCTTGGTCCCATGAGACCTGTGGCAATACATAACCAGTTGGTGTGGCAAGAGAGAAGACACCTTCAGGCAACGTGTGTGTCCTGAGCATCCTCCTCTGGGATGCGGGATGTGGGATGCCTGGGGATGGATGCCCACAAGAGGAGCAGGAGGTGGCACGTTTAGGAGCAGGTTGGGCTGTGAGTGTGCCTGGTAGGAGCTGACGTTGCTGTAAGAGTAGGGAAGGTTGAGTTTTTCCACCTTGCAGGCAATCGGGGAGGAAAGAGATTGTCTCACTCCTCGGTGTACGTATATCTCGTCTCCGAGTTGCCCAGGCAACGCTGTATATGTTTGCAGGCTGGAAGGATGTGGGGATGGAAAATGAAGCCAGGGAGTGGACTGAGGAGAGAAGTCCAGCAGGAATTTTCCCCTTGGTCTTTTGTGGCCCATTGCTGAGCGCTAATACGAGCTGCTCTCCCCGGGGTTCGTCATCAAATCCGAGATTTCCAGCTTTATGACTTTAAATCAAGCCCTGTTGCTCTTGGGAGGCCGGTTTTCGTGCTCATAATTAACCTCACAGAGGTTTAGCTTTAGGGGGGGGGCTGCAGGAGGGGAGCCAGCAGGCAGGGTAATACCATAGAAACACAAACAAGGTACAACATCTCACTCCATGGGCTGGTGGAGGGCTGAGCCCCTGGGGAGTAGCAGCTCCACAGCACTGCAGCTGCTCCTCCAACGTATCCCAGTGCCTCCTTCCTTGACAGGATCCTTGGAATGCCTCCATGGGCATGACTGTGGCTTGTGTATTGCTCTAGCACTTGGGGTTTTAGGATGCCCCAGGAGAAGCTGCTGCAAGGATGCTCCTGGATGGACTATAGCTTCTCCATCCTAAGGAAGCTCCTGGTTGCTGTCAGTCGCCTGGGTTTAATTCCTAATATCTAATGTAAATCTACCCTCTTTCAGCTCAAAGCCGTTCTGGTGAAGGTTTAGCCAAGGTTCTTATTACCCCAGGTCATCACTTCCACATGGGATCTTGCTGCCTGTGTGCCATGGCCTTGACTTTGCTCTTACTGGTGTGGGATAGATGGATGCTGCCCCAGAGCTGCAGCATCCCTTGGGCCAGAGAAGGGAGGGAGCTCTGAAAGTAGGTTTGTGGATGACTTAAAGAGCTGAAGAAGGGCTTCAATGAGAGTAATGAGTATAAGCTGAGGCACTCAGCACTGCCATAACCACACAGGCACCTCCTATCCATCCTTCCCACCACTGTTTCCCCAAACCCATCTGGCACCTCACTCCATCATGGGCCTTCTGCATGATGAAAAAGCCCCTTCATCTCTCCAAAGCATTTTGGGCCTTTCCCCAGGCAGAAACGACCCTTTACCCACCTCTTCCCCCTGCACCCCTGCCTGTAAAAGCCAACTTGTGCTCCAACTTCAAACCCTTTGGCATAAGGTTGGTGTTTCTGCCAGGCAGCTTCCCCCAGCTCTTCTGATCTCGAGCAAATAAATAAGGCAGGAACTTCACAAGGAAAAGGCAAGTGATGCTGTTCCTGTTGGAAAGCTGGCATTCCCCACCAGATGAGGATCAGAGGAGCCATCTGGTACACGCAGTTCTAATCTCATCGTGTTATTTCATTGCATTGGGTTACATTGATTTAGCCCCTCCACTTCCCAAAGCCAATGCAGGCTCATAGTGCTCTAAGCTCTTCCCTTTCCAGCCTAAAGGAGGTTTTTAATGTGGGAGACCAGGTTGTATATCTAAATATATGTCCTTAAAATCAAGCTTCCAAGAACAATGGTGGAAGCAGCCCAAAAATGTGCTAAGAAGGATGAATGCGTTAGGATTGGAGTCCAAGCAAAATATCAGAAGGGTGAATCAGAAAGAAGGAAAGGAAGGAGGGAAAAGAAATGGAAACGTATGGAGTTCTTACAAAGCTGGCTTTGCTTTTAATGGCAATGGCAGCTTTTCAGGTTGAGCTTTGAGTGCTGGAGAAATGCGTCAACTGCTCCTGCCCCAGCCATAGACTGGGGGGATGCAAAAGCGCTGTTGCAGTGATATGTTCATGCTGGTTTCAATCCAGCCCCTTTTAGAATCAGCTTGAGAGTGGTTTGGGTTGCAAGAACCCTTAAAGCTCACCCAGTCCCTGTGATGAGCAGGCCATGGAGCCTGGCAATACTGCAGGTGGAGCTGGGCTGCTTCACACATCTTCCTTGGGCAGGATAATGGGAGATGCACCAGTGGGTGCTGCATGGTGAAGGTGTTGGTTGAGCAGGGCAGGAGCCCAGCAGGAAGAGTATGGGGGTGATGCTAAACGTGCTAAGGAGCATTTTCCGGAGCAGGGATAGCCCTGTGTCCTCTGGAAGTGCCATCTGAGCATCACACTGCTGTTAGCCTGGTACCTTGTAACTGGTTATAGTATATATCTGTAGTTATCTATATATAGCATATATAACTGGTTATAGCATATATCTATGGTTATATATGTATAGTATATCTAACTAGTTATAGCATATATCTATGGTTATCTATCTATAGCATATATAACTGGTTACAGCATATATCTACGGTTATATATATATAGTATATATAACTGGTTATAGCATATATCTATGGTTATATATATATAGTATATCTAACTAGTTATAGCATATATCTATGGTTATATATATAGCATATATAGCTGGTTATAGCATATATCTATGGTTATATATATAGTATATCTAACTAGTTATAGCATATATCTATGGTTATATATATTTAGTATATCTAACTAGTTATAGCATATATCTATGGTTATATATATAGCATATATAACTGGTTATAGCATATATCTGTGGTTATCTATATATAGTATATATAACTAGTTATAACATATCTATGGTTATCTATATATAGTATATATAACTAGTTATGGCATATATCTATGGTTATCTATATAGTATATATAACTAGTTATAACATATATCTATGGTTATCTATATATAGCATATATAACTGGTTATATGTTGTCTGCACTCTTGGGCATCACCGTATGCTTTCTGGCAAGTCCCCTAATGCAGTTGAGCACTTTGGGCAGGCTAAACCTAAGTTGTCTTCTCCTTATCATTCCTTCTCCTTCCTTTTTGTGTCCCTTGACCTGTCCCATCACTTCTCTTGCAGCTTCCCCATGTTACCGGAGGCAAGAGAGCTGGTTGCTCTCAATCTAGTCATGAATCCTTGTGTTTCAGTGCATGACAAGGGGAGAGAACCATGTTCTCCAGGCTGGTGTGATGGCTGCAGGCAGAGAGGGGGGAGAAAGGGAGAGATGAAGCCCAAATCTGGCCTTCTTCCTGGTGTCCACAACACCAGTGAGGGCGAAAGACAAGGCTGTGTCTCATTAATCTTCTATAAGCAGAGGGAGATGCAGTGGAACAGAGCAGTGGCACTGGATGAATGGCCTGCACCTTGGAAAATAAACACTTCAGGCTCTCCCTCGGTGTTTGTTAACGCTGAATTCCTTTGCTATGCCCAATTGGGGTTGTGCTGCCCAAATCCAACCCGGGAGCTTGGGATGCAGGTGGGAAACACCAATGTGTTGCCGTGCTTCAGCTCCCAGCTGAAGGGTTTCTCCTGCTCTGAAGGGGCTCTCTCCCCATCACAGCAATGGGATTCTAATTAGGTGGTCTTCAAGAGGCATTCCAACCCAAAGCATTCATGGTTCTTGGCAGGAGATGGGGAATGCAGCAGCGTGGTTGGGCTTGCAGATGGGGATGCTTCTCCTCACCTTGGTCCCAGTGAGTCAGGGAGGCGGCACTTGCTCTGTCTCCATCCATCTTCATGCACCACAGGATTCCCACAAGCAGCACTTCAAATCTCTTCTGCCTGGTGGGGTTTTCATTCCCTTCCTTTGCAGAACCCCTCCAGGTGCTGTCTGGAATCCACACGCACCCAAACACACCTCTAATCCTGATTCAGTATGATGGGTATTGTAGAGATGCTTAGAAACGCACTGTGCAAGAGTGAACAGCCTCCCAGCAGGCATGTGGCCATTCCAGAGCTGTTAATCCTTTATAAATGTGGCTTTAATCATGCCAGGGTTTCACATAGGATGCCTGTCCTATGCAATACAATGTCTAGCTATATAAAGAATTGCAAGTTTGGGGCGTTTTGTCCTACAGGTTCATTCACTTCTGCTGCTCAGGAGGGCAAAACCACAAGAGGATGGTTGAAGTCAGGCATCCAACATCCCACTTCCCACCAGGATCCCAGTTGGTGCTTGCTGGACAAGGACCTGCACCAGGAGAAGGGTTTGCTGAGAGAGGTGAGTGGCTTCTGCTCCAGCCATGGACCTGCTGCCTGCCTGGTTTTAGCATTGCTCAGTGCATCTTGTTCCACCTTTGCCGTGCTCAGGGTGTAAGAGCAGCGAGACAATGTGTATAGAGCAATGTCAGCGCTTACACCTGCAGTAGCAGAGCAACAACCCATCCCTTTATCATCTGGAGAGAGGCTTTGGGCAAGGGATGCAGGGACAGGATAAGGGGGAATGGCTTTAACCTGACAGGGGAGATTGGGATGAGCTCTTAGTTCTTCCCTGTGAGGGTGGTGAGGTGCTGGGATTCCATGATCTCCATGTGCAGCATTCCCATCTGCAGAGCAGGAGCTCAGCAGACAGAGCACACATCCATAGGCAGAGCAGTGTGTGTGCCCCCCTCCTGCCTATCTGCCATCAGGAATAGCAAATTCCATAAGCAGTGACGTTTGGGGCTTTACGTTCCTGGTGGTGAGAAGAACACAAGCACCCCTCAGCTATGCTGGGTTGGAAAATACATGACATAACCTGCCCTGGCTCTTCATGTGCTTCCTGCCATGCCAGCTTGGTTCCCATCCAGCTGAGCAGCCATTCCTGAGGATGGGAGAGGACAGGTTGAGAAGCAGGGGGGGAATTTCCACTAAACTCGATTATTTTAGCTGGAAAAATAAACTCTTGCTGCAGCTCGAAGCAGATTCCTGCCTGGTGCCTCCCCTGCTTCATGTGAGATGCTGCCATGCAGCCAGAGGACGCGCTCCCATCCACACTGCTCTGCTTGTGTCATGCAATCCCTTGGTCCTCAATAACCAAAGCTTCATGGGGAAAGGGGAGCAGCCCTTTGCCTTTTGGAATGCCAGCATCCTGGCGGGAAGCCATCACTGCTGGGTGCAGCAGCCCTGTCTGACCCCCTTTTGCATCTCTTTTGTCTGTGGGTCTCCAAACTAATGCTTTTTGTCCCCGAAACCACACTGCCCCACTACTCCCTGTCCCTTTGGCTGATGAGGAGCTGTCAGGGCAGGACAAGGGGCTATTCTTTGTGGAGAACAGTGTGGGATGTCATAAGGGGGTGCCTGGCCCTCAGCCATCACCCACCACTGCCCTCCACACCTAGGTCACGTCTGGGCGCTGGCATTTATCAGGACTGGGGCTGGTTTGGGTACCAGGAGTGGATTGTGCACAGAGGGAGGATGGAGAGATGGGGTCAGCGCTTGGGGGTGGCCCCTGGGTGTGCAGAAGGGTCCTGAGCTCAGCATTTGAGCACAACTGATGCCATAGGCAGAGTTTTTAGCTTGTTTTCCTAATACATGTGCAGGTTTCTGGGGGGAGATGATGGCTTCTTGCTATGAGTGCAGATGAAGCATCCCCACTGGACCGAAGGGCAGCACTGCAAGCCCAGAGGCAGGCAAGGCAGCAAGAGTTAAGGGCTATAGTTCCTTTGCCATGTCCCACTCACACTCCAAGGGGGCTGGGAGCCCCACAGCCCCATGTGCTGGTGCTTGGAGCAGTGCTGTTTGCTTTGGAAGGAGGGAGGCTTTGTCTGTGGAGCCGCCGGCCAGTTTTCCACAGCCCACCTTAGGAACTCTCCCCAGCACAGGCAAATATCCTCCTTTCCAGGTGCTAATTCCATGCCTGACCTCCCAGCAGAGGCAGATGTCGGTGTGTGTGTGGGATATTTGCAGGGATGGAGAGGCCCGGCACCCTCATCCCTCCTCATGATCCCATCCAACGTGGCTCGCTTGTCTCGTCCTTGCTTCATGTATCTTCTGCAAGGTGATGAGTCCAAGAAATGGTGGAATCATGGAATGGGAAGGGACCTTAAAGCTCATCCAGTTCCAACCCCTGCCATGGGCAGGAACACCTTCCACTAGAGCAGCTTGCTCCAAAGCTCTGCAGTGCTCATGGCACAAGGTGTGATGGGTACCAGGAGCCTGGGGAGGATGCAGGAAGAGAGTGAGGATGCCCAAGAACTTCAGTGGACAATGCAGAAAGGGGATAAAACTCAGAGTTTTGACTAAGGCCAGTCAAGGTTGGTAGTTCCATCCACACAGAACTTTTCCTACATGGAATGCTGTCTTTACTGTGTATTTTGAGTGGCTAAAATCCCAGAAGGAGCAAGGTGTGGGGGAAAGGGGGCTGAGGGAATCAGGGCTGTACTGTAGCTCCAGGATGAGGGGGTTAATGGCTTAGGGCTATAAAGGACTGCCTTTGGGCTACTGCTGTGTCCCTGTCTGTGGGTCAGGGCTGGGGGCAGTGTGCAGGGGATGGGCATCTTTAGCAAACCTCAGGTTTAGGTTTTCCTTCTTTCCCATTAGGAAAAGCGCATCCGGGATGGTTTTCACACCCCAGGAAAGCCAAGCAGAAAGCTCCTCGAGGGTGGCCGACTTTCCATAGCTGCTTTCCAGGGGGATTTCTTCCCCATTCCTCTGAGCAGCTCTATTCACAGTATTCCCATAGCCAGGAGCAACAGCCTACATCCCTGCAGCCGTCTGGAGGGGAGCTGTAAGGAATCACAGCCCTGATGTACCAAAGGTGAGTTCGCCCCATCCCAACACGTAGCCTCATCCATGCTTTGTCCTCAATTGGTCCCCACTTCTCCATCTCTGGGTATCCCGAAATCATGTTCCTTCTGCTGTCTGATTCCCTCTTGGATGTCTCTGAGGTTCTCAGTGAGTCTCAGAGCTGGAAACGTTTCCTTCTTCAGCACTGAAGGCGCTAAGGACATTATTGAGTCCCAGCATGAATTGAACAGCACTGCAATAAGGATGTCTCTATGTGGGGTTGGCAGACAGCAGCAAGAAGTTGGTGTTACCCCAAACCCGTTTATTGGGGACTGTTAGGTCTGTTTCCTCTACTGTGGGGCTCTGGAGGCAGTCAGAGTGGGTGCAGAGCTTTAGGAGCAATCTGTCTATGCCTTTGGGTTGGGAAGGGTATGGGGGTGTCTGTTAAAGCACAGCCCTGAGATGATGCCCATTGCAGTCTGGAATGCTCCTGGGAAGCACGTAAAGGGATGGAGACAGTCACATGCAAGGAAGCAGCTCCCAGGACATGGGGATGCTCATCTGGGACCTCTGCTTCAGTGCCTGTGTGCTGTGCTATTCCTGTTCATCCTGGTACCCAGGGTCAGGAGAAGCCGTGTCCCTTTCCAGTGCTGCCAGACGCCTTGCTGAGGATACAGAGGCATTTCGGAACATCACCAGGCTCACTGGAAGCTCCACGTTCACTTTCTCACGGGAAGAGCAGACTTGGCCCCTCCAATAGACCCAGGCTTCCAAATTCCCCCCCTGCCTGTGTCTGTTTGTGCATGTGCAGCTCCCTGACATCCCGAGCCCCTGCCGTCCATCCCCGTGGCCTCGGGTGACTGTCTGAGCACTCCTAAGGTGGGTTATGAGGAAGGGGCTGGTTCCACCAGCAGCCCAGTGAACCCAACAGGCCCCCAGAGCCATCTGACAGCTCAAGTGGAAATAGATACAGTCCCCATGCAGCCCTTGTGTTGTTGTTGGCAGAGGGAGCCAGAGGCCTCCAGGTTGAGAGCATAAGCGGAGGAAAATTGTTCTCATCTGAATAAACATGATGAGCTCTTTGCCAGCAGCTCCAGTGCCCCAGCAGAGGAGCCCCAGCTGGGCCATTCCCCTCCCTTTGGTGTAACTGGTTGGACAGGCAGCCTTGTTTCTCCTTGGGGATGGTGTGTTGCTTGTCCTCGCTCCAGCCCCCATCTTCAGTGATGGAGCTGATGCAGGCGCCCATGAGCATCATCCTGCTCTGATACAGGGCAGGTTTCTGCAGTCATGGTTCCCCAAAAGATGGGAAAGCGAGGGCTCGAAGCAGGATGAGGTGGTCCATTCTATGGTATCTTCATAGATAAACAGTGTCTAGTTTGTTGGATGGTGGCTGTTTCAGTGAGGAACCTTCCCTAGAAAGCCCCACTTGGCTACGACTCCAACCAGCCCTAAACCCTGCTTAAGAGTCTCGTATAGCTTCAGTCTGTTCCTAATTGCCATAAAGCCAACCCCTGCTTGCTGTATGCTTCCTACCACCCACCAGGCCTTTCTCCCACTGAACTTCATAGCTTTAACCTCATTCTTGTGTCTTGCAGGAGATGGTAGCGATCTGACAGCATCCAACAAAGCCCCATTCCAAACCTTCCCTGAAGTGGGAGCCTTGAGCACCCAGGGTGTGAAGGACGCATTTCATGTTCTGACATCTTCTCCTGCACCATTCTGGGTCCCTTCTGGCACCACAAGGAGCAGGAAAAGCCACGAAGCTCCTTAAATTGTGAGTAGTTTTCCCTCTTTTAAACCATGGAAATGGCATCTGCGTTCCCCTTTTACTGCTCGCTATTTGGGGATGAAGGAAACAGGGGAGCTGGGGGCACTCATTCCTGACCTTGGGAAAAGCAGGGGGCTTATAAAAGCTCTTAAGTGCTGCAGGAATTATGAGGCAATTAAAGACATCAGGCCAGAGCTGGGGCTGTGTCAATAAAACTGAGAGGAACTGATGTCAGCTCCACGCAGGATGCAGGGATTGATGCTTCTGCCTTCTCCTCATAGCACTGAGCCCATGGGCTTGGTGATGCTGAGGCCTCGTGCTTCCCACTGCCACATACTTGGAGTGTTTTTAGGGCTTGGGGGGGGGGGCTCTTTTTGGTTGTGCCTTTGGGGTTCCATTTCTCATTGCAGTGCCCATTGTCTCTCAGATGTGGGTCATTCCCAGAGCGCGGCCTCGTGTCCTCGGATGGGGTTGTGGCTCGGGATTGTCACGCTGGGCTTTGAATGCTCCTCTTAGGTGTAAGTGATTTCTCGTGCCCTCCACTCGAGCTGAAGTGCTGGTGACATGGAATGAACCCTCTCCTCTGCTTCCTCTTCACCGAATCCCATGGAACTGTTGCTGGGCTCTTAGGAATGGGGAGAGCATTTGCCAACGTCCTCTGCCCAGGTTTAAAACAAGGGGAAAAGGGGGGGAAAGAAAGCGTGGGGTTTAGTCTGTGTTTGCTAAGCAGGTTTACTTAAGCTTTAGTCATTTATTTGCTTCCCTACAAGTGCTGGCTGGATCAGAGCGATGCAGATGGGTTTCTTTAGGGTAGATGAGGGCTTAGAATAAACCCCTGATGTCGCAAGAGGTGCAAGCATGAGCTCCTTTGGGTTTGGGCTCGGATTGGCAGCTCCCTCCTTGTGTTTCTCCCTTCCTTCAGGGAGAAGGAAGTGCAGTGAAGGGATACAGATTGAGGAGGGTGATGGGGATGACTTGGGAATGAAAGGGGTGGGTGGGCTGGCAGCAAGCTGGGAGTCACCTCACACTGTTACTCTTAGGGGCTGCCTCATCGTCACCTACCAATGTGATAAAACCCATGCTGAGATGCTGGTGGGATGGAGGGTGGGCAGAGTGCAGACCCCCAGCCCCAATGCACCCATCCAACCCCAAATGGCACCATACAGACTCTTCCCTTAGGTGTAGAACTGCTCTTTGTGTGGGGTCTGGCATCTCTTAAGCTCTGGTAGCCCCGGTTAGCAGCCCCTGGTGCTGCAGGGACCAAGCAGGCACTGGTCCCTTGCCCCAGGCCATCCTTGCCTTTTGCAGCTTGGTTTTTATGGGCACTGAGAGCAGTTCATTAGCTCCCCTGCTTGCTCAGGTTATATTTGCTGGCTTTCCCTCCCTATAAACCAGGAATGCACAAACAGAGGCTCGTGCTAAGGGGGCAGGTTATGGGGCTGGAGGGGAATGACCCCAGCAGCGAGGCTGTGCAGCCTCTGAGCTCAGCACAGGGTCCCCAGGGGCTTCCTATGGGGTCCCAGCAAGCAGAGGGTCAAGCTGGGGAGCTGAGGGCTCATCCATGTGTCCCTTGATACAAACCTCAGGAGCCCTTTAGCTCCAAGCCTTTTTCAGAGATGGGGAAATCGAGGCACAGGCAGAGCCAGGATGGCCTCAGGCATAGGGAAGAGAGAGGAGTTGGTCCTATGCCCTTCATGTCATAGAATCCCAGACTGGTTTGGGATCTGCTCTAAGGTCTCCCCTTAAGGAGCCTTCTCTTTCGAGGCTGAACCAGCCCAGCTCTCTCAGCCTGTCCCTGAGCCTTTCCCACATGTCCATGCTCTGTGTGTAGGTGACAGCCCCAGAGCACAGCACTCGGCTCTTATCTCCTCTCCCTGTCTGGTTCCCCCAGTGCCAGCTCCAGATCAAACACAAGGAAGCCCCAAGGGCCTGGGCTATCACTGCTGGGAAGCAGACAGCAAACTGCATCTGCCAAAGTTCACAGCTTGAAAGGCAGCAGCTCCGGCAGCGAGGGAGGATGCTGCTTCCTCTCCCCCTCTTCCATATAGGTGGGTGCCCCCATCCCTGTTGACTTCAGGTTTGGGATGTTTCCAATAGGCTGAGCAGATCTTTCACAGCTTTGGGAAGAAGCAGCAAAGAGCTGCTGCAGGGTGGGTATCAAATGCCCAGTAAGGGCACACATGGTGGGTATTGGATGCCCAGTAAGGACACACACAGTGGGTATTGGATGCCCAGTAAGGACACACGTGGTGGGTATTGGATACCCACTAAGAACACACATGGTGGGTATTGGATGCCCAGTAAGGACACACATGGTGGGTATTGGATGCCCAGTAAGGACACACATGGTGGGTATTGGATGCCCAGTAAGAACACACATGGTGGGTATTGAATGACCAGTGAGGACACACATGGTGGGTATTGGATGCCCAGTAAGGACACACATGGTGGGTATTGGATGCCCAGTAAGAACACACATGGTGGGTATTGGATGCTGAGGAAGGACACACAGTTGTGGGTATTGGATGCCCAGTAAGGACACACATGGTGGGTATTGGATGCCCAGTAAGGACACACACGGTGGGTACTGAATGCCCAGTAAGGACACACATGGTGGGTATGGAATGCCCAGTAAGGACACACATGGTGGGTATTGAATGCCCAGTAAGGACACACATGGTGGGTATTGGATGCCCAGTAAGGACACACATGGTGGGTATTGGATGCCCAGTAAGGACACACATGGTGGGTATTGGATGCCCAGTAAGGACACATATGGTGGGTATTGGATGCTGAGGAAGGACACACATGGTGGGTATTGGATGCCCAGTAAGGACACCCATGGTGGGTATTGGATGCCCACTAAGGACACACATGGTGGGTATTGGATGCCCAGTAAGGACACACACAGTGAGTAATGGATGCCCAGTAAGGACACACATGGTGTGTATTGGATGCCCAGTAAGGACACACATGGTGTGTATTGAATGCACAGTAAGGACACACATGGTGGGTATTGGATGCCCAGTAAGGACGCACATGGTGGGTATTGAATGCCAGCAGCTCTTCTCCTAGGCTTTGGCCCTGGTGGGAATGAAACCCCTGCCTCTAACAGCCCCTTCAGCCCATTGCCATCCCCACATAAGTGTTCATGTATCCGTGTAACCTGCTTTACAGCACAGCAGCTTTTGGGCAGTCAGCAGGGAAAGGAAGCTCCTAGGTCATAGAAGCCCAGCCTGGTTTGGGTCTCACCCAGTTCCAACCCCTGT